TTATTTATTAATAAAGTTTGCCTGGTACTTGGAGCAGGCCTTATCCTCCGAGGTTATATGGTTTTCTTGCATTGTTATTTAGCGTAGAAAGATCTTATTATTCTTCTGTCATATTTACAATAATTTTGAATACCTGCTTGTGATATAATGACCGACTGACGAAATCAGAGTCAAGCCGATATTTTGTACATCATTTGTACACTGTAATCAAAAAAATATACGCTTCTTGTTGTTCTGTTTAGATTAAACTCGCGTCGATTAATGTTGACACTACGTTTCAACTGCGATCCCAAACATCTTGCAGGTTCAGTCTATGGGCTCTAACCCTTTACACCACGACATGAGTATGCATATTCTCCATACTGTTCTCTGTACATTTCCTAAGGTGCTGACAAGGAGAATTTGTGAAACAATCAAGAGCTTCTTTGGTTGGTGATTATTTCCTTTATTCCCGTAACGTTAATGTTTATTTCATGGTGATATTGTATGGAGAAATTAGAAACTAGTCACTCTTAGGGGTTAATGGGTTAGCATCACCCTGCTTAACGATTACTCGTGTATTCCTTTCATGTGAAACAATGTGATTGCTTGATTTAACACTTTTCTAAACCTTAACTACAATGAGATTCAACACATGTTACATGTATACAGAGGAAAAATTAAGCTAAGTAACCTTTTCGCAAAATCTGTTAGCTTTACTGATTCTTGGTTTTATCAACTAAACTTGGCAAACTTTGCTTTCATCTGGCATTCACTCGGTTTTCAGGGGAGGACCAAAGAGGGAATTAGTTGTCGCCAACAGAGTATACAGACAGGGACTATAGAAAACTGACTAGCAGTTATTGCCAATGGCGGAAGATCATGAAAATATGACATAGCCTTATGGGAGGATCAGGTGAGCTTTATCGTGTCTAAATAAAAATCTTCCGATTCTCCTCCGCCCCTGCGATAAATAATGACAGGTTCCGGATGTGATGAGGTGAAAAAAAAGTTCATTTTTCCGTATTGGAACGTTTTCTCTCTCTCAGGAAACGTCATATTTATTTACACAAGAATACTGTCTCTTCTAATACTCGCTTTCCGCGTAAGGGGAACAGATGGGCGTGGCGATGACACTTGCTTTAAGGGAATAGGGGGATCCAGGGAGCTCTGGCACGCGCAAGGTGACCTGGGAGATGATGGGGCGTTTGCGTCAAACACAAAACTATTTCGATCACAGGTCTGAAGGCGATTGGGAGACCGCTGATAGCCGCTATCTGAGGTATTGGAGATCACTGCGGAGTCGGTTTGGCTGGTTCTGCAGGCTAAAACAGCCGGTAGGCTTTGGAAATCTACCTCAAAGTTACGCTGTTTCCGTGGGATCTTGAGTTGTGCTTGGGCCAGGTTGTAGTACAGCGAAAAGGTGCTGCCGATCACAGAGGCAGACGTGGATAGGATGATGATGCCACATATGGAGGCGATGCCACCCACAACCTTGCCCGCAAACGAAGCCGGGACAATGTCACCGTATCCTACGGTTGTCATGGTGATGACGCCCCACCAGAATGCATTGGGCAGGCTGTGGAACTCAGACTTGGATTTTTCTGTTCCCCACTGCCTCTCGGTGTATAAGATAAGGCTTGAGAAAATTATGACAGGGATGAGCAGAATAAGTAGGAGAAGACCCAGTTGATGACGACTAGCCTTGACAGTCTTTCCCAGAATCTGGAGGTCATACAGCAGTTTGAAGAACCGAAAGATGCGAACAATGCGCGTTGTGTTTAGGACTTCGATTAGAGTTGTGCGTTCAAACACCAGGAGTAGATATAGCGGGATTATCACCAAAAGGTCAATCCAGTTTTGCAACTTTTTGGCGAATTGGAACTTGCTCGGACAGAAAGCCAAGCGCAACAGAAACTCCAAGGTGAACCAACCTGTGCATACCGAGTCTATTATTGTCAGCACGTCCATGGGGGTCTGAGAACCAGCAAGTTCCGTTTTTGTCACCAATGCTGAAAAACGAAGGGTAGATTGTTTAAAATTTTGAACAAGGCTGGAGTGAATTTGTTTGAGCCTAGTAACCCACACTTCTTTT